GCATGAGTATATTACGATGATAGGATAATCCAAGTCACAGTTCCATCCTAAGCTAAACCAAACGCTAGAGCTATCGTTACGGGATGCATCTGACGCATAATATCAAAAATCATCAAAGTTCAGGCATCCAGAAATATACTTTTCGTACGCTTACTCACTGACGTATTTAAATCCCCTAAAAATAAACTAAGAGCTTAATTCCCAGTGATCAAAAGAAACAGCATCAATATCATTTTTTGTTAATCATGAGAGGAGTGGTGAGATTTGAACAAAGTAGCGCCTGGATGAGGAAGTAAAATTTAGCATGTTGTTTGCTTTGATAACAATCGGTGAACGTTGCTTGCCTAACAGCCGCGAGGAAGGAAGCGATTTAGGCAATGCACGCACGTTATTCACTCATCATATAGAACCAAGCTGGCTGAGAAAGTGCGACTCAGTGCAGGTAAGCCTGGTGTTGGTGTTCCGGGATTCTCTGTTCTCCAGACAGTCAGTGATTTTAAAATGGCTGAAAAGCAAAGATTTGTCATTTGCTCTTTATAGAGATAGTGGAAGAGGAGCTACTGCACTGTATGTAAATGTTGGTACCTGACTGTTCGTCCGGGTGGTAAAATAGCTTGGTACAGTGAGAATCGAGATGCTCAGCACCGAGGACTCGACGTTGTCAATTTGGTAAAGAGGCTTCAGGCGCATGCATCGCCCCCGGAGCAGCACAAAGACTGGTTCAAAAATCTCGCAACACGATATGCGCCGACTACCAATCGTGCAGCTCTGCATCACCTGCAATTTCCACGGCCGTACTGCCTGACCAACAGAAAAAATTTTGTTCAAAAAAAAGTTGGTGCAACTGACAATTGTGTCATTTTTTTTTCCTTATTTCACGGTTGTTTTGAATGCGTGGTAGTCAGTCTTTTGGTAATCCTTGTAGTCCATTCGCCTCCCATAAAAGGATTAGGTGCTTAGCAGTTCTCGGAACGGGAGGGCTTTGGCAATAGCTTTAGTCGCTTGGAGTTTTAACGGTGTATATTGGGCGCTACCGTTCTGTCCTAAGCATTGTCACTTTTAGATCACGTTAGGGTAACTTGCCGTCTGGATGACGTCGATGCACTGCATCGTCTAATGCTTGACCACTCGACAAACTTGCCTAATGAATTTCACGAACAGATGATGGACGCGCAGAGGCTAGCTGGTCTTCATCTTAGTGCGTCATCTTCTTCGCTTATATATAAACAAACAAAGACGGTGCAGAAATTTTACGTTTTCACATTTGTAGCCATACTTTTCAAAAATATTGCTGAATATTGTTGCGAGAGATCTGTTGCCGCGCCAC